ATAAAAAAAAAAAAAAAAAAAAAAAAAAAAGAACCAAACATAAAGAATCTTAGCAGAAGTGGCTTCTATCCAAGACTCAAACAAGACAATCTAACAAATGGAAAATGAGTTATCAAGGGCATGCTCCACTCTGTGCCAAATTCTAGTTACTCCCAAACTGCCAGGAAAGATCTTTCCTGGCTACATAAGACTCCTTTGGAAATACAACGAAGTCATTTATGGGAAAAGGAAGCTGAACATACATATGAGTAAGTGTTTGCACCAGGACAGCAGATGCAGTAACATGGGGATTTGGGTAAGATTTCTTGTTTAGAAACAGACAATCTCCAGTCTTCTGAAAATATTTAAGTTATGCAAAGATAGTATAAGTAATCTACTTACACCAGTAATGACTTCAAAAGAGATCATATACAATTTTTAAGGGTGTAAGTTTCACTTTTCTTGAGTATAGAAGGACTAGAAAAAGTTCAAACTGGGTTCAGATAGCAAAATCCTAAAGCACTTAGGAAAAAAAATCCAGAATTTTAAGCTCCCTCGTTGAAAATATTGTTTTTGAATGTTGGTACTATATGTTTAAAACTGAGCTTATTTAAACTTTGGAATCAGTTACGTACAGGTTGGACAATCTGGTTAGATTTGCATTGTACTGAACTCAAACAAATTCAGGATAACATCACTGACATTTTTCAGATAAATACCAAATATTGAAAATGCAAGGAACAAAACCAGTAGAAAAAGAACATCTCACCTGTCGTCTTCGTTGGACAGTCCACAATTTTGCAGTTTCGAAAGGGCTAAACGAAAAAATTGTTCTAGAAAGCAAATACAGAGAAAATTTTAAAATACTCAGTGCTTTGCAGTAAAAAAGTAAGTATGTCAACATGACTACAGCCTTTTCAGCACTTTTTTTTTGCACTATTCAAAAGAACTCAAAACCTCTTCAAAAATTCAAGTTTATCAGAGCTGCTCTCTTGGAAGCTTTTCCTGACTCCACATTCCACTGTTGGAAGACAGCGTAGGATTTGCACTCAAAACCATTCTAGTTACAAGTAAGCAAGAGATTTCATGATCTTTTTTTTATTCCTCCCACCTTCAGCTGCAGCAGATGCAGCCTTGAGCACTCAGCTAAGGACAGAAACTGTAGTACACATTTTGGGAGAAGATATCCAACCAGTCTGTGCTCACTAAGAAATACGGGCAGAAGCACCTCTCCAGCCCAACCCCATAGGCACATGCCTGCTGGACACTCACGTGCTTCTCACTGACACAGTTTGAACAACTCTCAATCTCAAATGTATTTTTCCATATCACTATTCCAGAGGAGCAAGAAAATGCAATATTCTGGTTACACTGATAGAGGGCAAAGCAATAGGCTTATGCCCAAATTTGCATGGGTGCAAATTTGAGTGCACTGATCAATGTTAAACTCTGAGGCTACTCGAGATTTACAGCCCTTTCCAAAAGGATACCTAATGCCTGGGTTCTCCAACCCCATCTACTCTATCTCAACCAACACAGATGTAAGTAGGCAAATGCTGCATGGGTGCAGCAGCCACACAAATGGTGGAACTATCCTCTGCAGTCCCAGTGACACCCCTCAGTGGGAGAAGTCCTGTAAAAGGGAAACATTGCTGATGTATCTGCCCTAGCTGCCTCAAGTGGGAGAGCATCTACCTCAATTGGACTCTGGTGTTCAGCTTTGGTTTTCTAATTGAACCTTCACTCTCACTCAGCTGAAGTTTTCCCTAACAAAGCATTAGCTAATTATCTTCAGCATTTCAGCCCACCTACCAAGGAAAAGAAGTTGAATAAACTCCACCCTCCCTCACTCCCACCTTTCTGAAGCTTCTCTCACAAGAGGGAGAATTCTCTTCCCTGCAGCACTTCATTTGTTAAGAGACAGAAGGTGTGAAGTCAGAGAAATGAAGCAAAAACATTAGGTGACATAGGTGTCCCAAAAGCACTAACATCAGTGAGAAGGAAACACCAGGCCTGGAGACTGAGATGGCCTCACCTGACATGTAGGTGTTTCCATTAAAAAACAAAAACAAAAAACCCAGCTACACAAGGAACACAAACCTGCTCTCTTTATTCCATAAGGTAGCTCGAACTTATCACTTCCATGGAACTCTGCTACTCTGATAAAATCATTGGCACACAGGAACGGGTATATTTTGTCAACACTAGTGAAGAGAAAATAAAACACAGGAAGTTTCAGAATGCCACATGATGTATTTGAATAAGCTAACAATGCCTGTAGTTGCTTTTAAAAATATTTTCTTCCCCTACTTGAAACAGGTAAGTATCATCAAGTTTTAAACAAAAACTCACGATCACAGGGAAATAAAACAGATGACAGAAAAGGGGAAGATTTTATGATGAAAAATTCTCTAGGGAGTGAGATAAAAGGCCCTCTCTGCTAGTATAAATTACGTAAATTCATTAAAATTCTGTGCAGTGAAAGAGCTCACACCATGAAACAGCACATCTGATAGAAACTGTAACCCAGTAAAACAATTAGTTACTTCTGGGGTAAAAAGTAAATAATAATGCTGAGGAAGAAAAGCAATACAGACAGCAAGAAAAACATAAAAATTATTATTATATATAATGTTTAAAATAAGAAAGGACAGGACTTGAGACAGGTCACTCCAAAAGTAATGCCTCCTAATAATTTCCATGGAAATTACAACAGATAAAAGGAGCACAATAACAATATTTGATAGAAACAGTTCTCAGCAATAGAACAGTATTTTTCAGCAGTCAACACCATTAGCTACACATTTTCACCAGTCATGAACACGAGCCTGCATGCTGCAGGCGAAATCTCTACTTGTGGAGGTGACCACTGCTGCTGTCACCAGTGCTGAAATGCACCATCCACTGCCTTGCTGTGCTCAGTGGCAATCCACTGTTTGGTCTCCAGAAACATTCATCAAGTGTCAGTGAAGGCCAATGGGAGACATTTTTCCCAGATAGAGGAATTCAATTCCACACCTTTGCTTCATCTGCACTCCCATGTCAGATAACATTCTATCAGACTGCCCCTCTGCAGCAAACTATCACACGACAACAACATGTAAGGGAATATTGGTGGGAAGGTACTGCCATCATCTGCCTCTGACAGTGTGGGCCAACATAACAAAATAGGAGGCATTACTTTTAGAGCAGTTTCCATATTTTAACTTGAAAATATTATCTCAAATACGCTAGTTTCTTGAGGAGAAGTGCACCAGTTTCAAATAAAGGTCACTTTATGGCTGCATTGACATTATTAAGTAGTTGGGTGCAATATGAGTAGACTCACACAGCAAAAAGGTATGAAGTTTCCATTTTGGTTTGGATTAACATTAGGAGGGTCCCACCTACAAAGGGTACATCCCTGCAGCACACCTTGTGACATAGCACTGTCTGAAAGGAGACTATTCCATGTGTGCCACAATTGCTCTGCAGTGGGAAGCACAGTGCATGGGAATCACAAGATTTCCCTCAAAAACACATTGCTCCTGCAAACTGGAACAGGAAGGCATCAAAATGCATGCAAGATCAAGAAAAGGTCACTTCTTCAAAAGGCAATAGCCACAGCCAAGGGTTGTTTTACAGCAGGGAAGAGACTCTTATTATTCTATCTGCCTAATATTGAGACAAATGAATGAATCAATCCAAATCCTGCCACATGCTACCATGCCCTCAGATTCACCTCATAGTTAAGTCAACTTCTGCTCATCAAACCAGCTGACTTTTCAATGATCCTGCATACTAGGTCTTAAAAATGTATTAAAATGTAAACACAAGTATGCAGCTACAGGGAGAAAAATGGAGTGCTGCCACAAGCAGCACATGACTTGCTACTCCATTAAGAATATTAACAGTTGTATACACACACCTTCCTCTAACAGTCTCATAAATCAAGTGTTTCATTCTTTAAGTTCCACATATTCAGAAGGTATGCAAGAATAAAAACAACAAAAACTACACATACCAAAAACTGGGCTATAGGTTAACCAAGCAGATCAGCTAATTTTGAGACATTATGCACTAAATGCCCATACTAAATTAGTAACTTGCCTTGCTGTTCAAAAGCAGCTGGGAAGTTTAGCCATAATGAATAATTTACCTACTGCAAAGGGATTCTTAATTCTAGCTCTTCTAGCGCTGGTTCTTTTCCAACAATTTAACCAGGTTAGACATCCCCTGAATACCCTCAGGCTACTACAAAGTGCACAGACCAGATCTTCAGCTCACAGAAGCTATTGCTGTAAAGGAGCTATGGAAATATCGAAGATACTCAGTTCTCACTCTGAACCTCCCTCCAGAAGTGAAGTATGCATTTCCAAGTCCTTCCCTGCCTCTCTGATCAGGAGCTGATCTACCCTGTTGTGCCTGTCACCAGGACAGCCTGGGAACGCAGTAGGCAAGGAACCTCAGTCAGTCTCTGAGCCAAGCAGCTAAAAGCAAGAACCACAGACTAAGGGATAGCAAGCTTTGAGAAGGAGAAAGCTCATGATCCTTGAATGTTCTTTGATTCAGTGCTATTAAAGTACTATTTTCTTGTACACAAAAAGGAAAAAAAAAAAAAGGCATATTTTAAGAGCCCTTTGGCCAAAACTTGATCTAAACATTTTCCCAAGCTTTTCTCGGGCCACACTCAATGCTTGCTCAGATAAAACACAAAGTCAAAGCCAACAATATGCCTTGTCTGCTTCTGCTCCTGCAGCGCTTCTTTGATCTTTAAGACACACTTCTAATAACAAAAACTACCAGCATTTCCTCACAGACACGTTGGATGCACTTCTGAGATCAGACATCTCCATTGTTTTGGGTAGAAGCTCTACTTTTCAGTTGAATGCTACTTACTCAAGGGAAGTTTCTTCTGTTATCTTAAAGCAAAGGACAGCTACATGCAATTCAGCAGCACCACAAAGCTGCGGACTACTCCAAGCTTCATGAAAACTGAATTCCACTAAAATTAAAAATCCACTAAAAGTTAGGGAGGGGATCCTATTTCATTAAAGACTGAATGAATTTTTTGCACATTTCATACTCTTCTCTTTGGGGGGGAAAAAAATAAAAAGAAGAGACTTTCAAAACTTGTCTGGCTTCTGATTGCTAAAGAAGTGCTTAGCTATCAAAAAAACCCTTAATTTTAATTCAAGGCTCTTAACAGCAAAATAGCTGAGTCTTAATCTTGGATGCACAGGTTTCTTCTATGAGAAAAACATGAGCAGGGAAAAAAAAAATAAGGGCTTGTCTTTTGATCAAGGAAGTAGTTTCACTGTTACTAGCTGCAATACATGAAATGGTATTTAAGCAGTATATACAGGAGCAAATTGAGTTATTTGTGCTGTATCACTCTGATGTTGAACAACGACAACTTAAACAATGTGGCACAGCCCAAAAAGAAAACAAAATAAATGAATACAAACTCAAGGATGTACTTACAAAAATCAAAATGTGAAACAGTCCAGAACACGTAAATTACAAATATTTCTACCTAAGTCAGTACCACCTTTCCATCTCTCCACTCCTTCTCACAGAGTACTCACTCCAGTAAAGATTCAAATGCTGGTTTCAGAAGACAAGTGTCCAGTGCGTTCCTTCTCTCCACAGCCGTAGGTGGCAGCCTACAAGAGAAGAATTTCGAAGACATAACAAAAAGAGTAATAGATAGTGACAACAAGGTAGGGAGGCTTGGACAACCAAAACTAGCAAGCTGATTACCCAGTTAACACTGTGCAAATGGGAAAGCTTGGCCTTTGCTGGTATCACAAAGATGGGTCCTCCTGATTGTGATATGATTATTGTCACTAGTAAGGCTTTTACTGCACAGTGCTGCCCCAAGGGCCCACAGCCTCCTTTGACAGGTAGCACCTAAAGTAGCCATAATCAGAGGTTCTCAGGATCTCAGAACTACCTGGAAAGAAGCAGCACATCTCAGTTGAATCACCCCTGCAGCCTACAAGATAGCTGCACCAGCTATCCTCAGAGAGTCGGAACCTCAGAGGAGAGGGGAACCATGTAGGGTGCTTCAAGGAAAATTAAATTACGTGAATATAAGTCATTCCCTCATAATGAGGCTAGAAAGCCAAGACTTATATTTCTAGACACGTTCCCAGCTCAGCGCTTTTGCTTCTTCAAGAACATGAAGCTCAGAAGGGAGGGTAAAGTTCAGTGAGAGCAAAGCCTGCGTCTGGGTTGCATTAGGAAAGAAGGATGAAAACACCACATTAGAGACACAAGTCATACAGACCATTAAGGTTAATTGCTTTCAGTAACCTCAAGTTGTCACATGAATACTGACACCGAGAAAGCATCCTGTGAAATGGATCAGCTGGTCAGCTCATTGCTTTCCAGCACCAGCCTCACAGACAGCATTTTGCAAGATAGCTTCAGAGGTAACGGAGGCCTTCTTTCAAGTTTTAGCACAGGCTGTCATTCGACTCATAAACCTAATAGCAGGAATTTACCAGCACAGGATTTGCTTATACAAGCACTTCCATATCATACAAATGAACTACACCCCTGATTGCTTCCTAAAATTAAACACATATATTGCTCTCATCTGTAATTTTAACTCATATTTAACTCTGCATTGCGCAAGTTTGGAAGCTGTAAACAAACATCCTTTCAACAATTTTCTGCTTTCTACAGATAGCCACAGTTAAGTGGCCATAAATATTAAACAAACACTGGAAATATGAGCAAATTCCTTTGAGCAACCTGACCTAGCTGTAAAGTCCCTGCTCATTGCAGAGGAGTTGGACTAGATGACCATTGAAGGTGCTTTCCTACTCAAAACAATTCTAGGGTCCTTTCTGCCAGTCATGCTACAGTTGTGTTCATAATACTCCATGGGCACAGTTATACAAAGATCAATTGAACCGAGGCTATGGATTTTAGACTCACTCCCTCCCACTTACCCAAAAAACAGACGGGGGAAAAAAAAAGAAGAAAAAAATACCACAAAAACAAGACCACACACAAAGAATACTCAGCTGCTGAACTTACTGGGTAACTCCACTAGCCTCATTGGAAGAAGGACCCCTCACAGAAGAAGTCTGTCCATAAAAGCTAATCCTGCAAAAGGGGAAATGGTGTAACACTGAGGTTTGCTATATACAGAAACCACAACAGAGAGCCATTCATATCAAATGTATGCTCTAAGTGAGATAAACACAAGTAAGCTTTTAACAGTAATGTTTGGCTATCATGATAGTCTTCATAACACAAGCAGAGCTCTGGTCACACCAGTGCAAACTCCAATGGAAACTCAGCTTCTGCAATAAGTTTAGGTCCCACGCCACCTGTCATGTGTGCCCTGGAGACAGCAAGGGCTCACCTTCCAGAATTTTGTCTATGGGACTTTGTAAGCTTCAGTTTTGCAAGAAGGTGGTCATTCTGCATGCAGATATTCATTCTCATGTGTGGGGCAGGTCACTCCCATGTCATTTATCTATGGTAGCAAGCCAACGCTAAACATGCAAGGCAGGAGCGGACACAGTGCAGACACATGGCACATAGATGAGACCTTTCTCATCACAGGAGCACCTATTTTCATGGAACTCGGAGTGGCTTCCTATCTTTGAGGACTTTAACTCTCCATAAATCTAGCTGTACATCGTCTGCTAAGCTTAAAAATGATATGAGAGGAAGGGTGGCAGGACAGAGCAATCACATTCATTCCCTCACTCTACCCACAAAAAAGTAAAACCAAAAACAAAGAACACATAACAGAAAAAAAAACAGAAACACACATACGCCCACACTAATCATACTTTCTATCTATTACTCATAGACAACTGTTCAGCAACACATTACTAACAGCCACATATCTCAGACAGCCATGAGGGTATCTGCACTATAAGCAAACAAAGTGTCACCATACCAGTAGAAGTTATTTCTCCACAGATTTCCATGCAATATACCATACATAACTGCAGCAGCCAGGATGAAAAACAGAAGAATTCGTTTCATGACTGGTAGACCTGAAATAAGAAAGAAAACAAGAAATTCAAATCCAAGTTACAATATCAAAATGAACTTTCATGCAACATCTTGCAACCTATGGAAGGAAACCACTATTATTACAGCCAGTCTCCATCACCATAAATTCAACAGTTTCTCAAACTGAGAATTTGATTTCTCAAACTGAGTCACAGTGACAGGAGTTGAATGCTGCTCTGCATCTAACACACAAGCTTACTCTGCACAGTGACACAAATACTGAGAAAGGCTCACTTTAGGTTCACTTTAAAGACTGTGCAGAAAGACAGGTTCTTCCAGAGGTGTGTCAGCGCCAGAGCTCCACTTTACCCACCGGCATCCCAAAGAAATCAGCCTCACAAGACAGAAGATAGCCTTTGCAGCTACCTGTTCTTCTCTTCCTTCTTACCCCTCCCACTGTCTTTTTCATAATTACACAGTCAAACCAGCATGCACACTCTGCAGGACGCAGATAGGCTGACACTGATGAATCTGCCACAAACTGCTGCTGGCTTCTAAAGGACTACTGAATATCCTTAAAGTCCAGTTTTGGCCATTTAAAGCTGCACTGAAGCTGCCTGCTCACACCCTCATATCCTGCTCATTCTCCAGCTCCTGACACAGGCCAGGCTTCACTGCCTAATAAAAGAAGAATGCTACATTTATGCATAGTACAGCAAGAGAGAGAAGTTAGGGCCCAATCACTGGAAAGTACTTAGGAACTGGTAAGTTTGGGAGAAACAGCAGAGAAAATGTTTGGTTTTCAAGTCAAGTTTTCACCTCATTGCACAGATTAGTAAATCCAGAAGATAAAGTAGAAATACCAGGAGCTTGTGCTCCTACAGACACGCAGGGGAAAAGTTCTGCATTGCTCACATCTTAACAGACTGAGCTGCCCTTTCAGGAGCTATGAATGAATCGTTGTTGCTTACCCCTCTTCAAAGTCCAAAATAGACATTCTGGCCACAAACTACTGTGGAAATTTACTTGAGAGCTATATTCTTCTATTATTTTGACCACTCCCCCCCGTCACAGAAAGGGAAAACAGGTTCAGTGCACACAATGCATAAACACCTACTAGCACATTTAATGTATTTTAAAGTGAAGGTAACAAATAGGTCTCCAACAGAAGCAAGCCATATCCAAACAACCGTAGTGCTGTGCTTTCCAAAACAAACCCTTTAGCTTTCTGATGTGGATTTCAGGGGCTTTTCTTTTTTTTTTTTTTTTTTTTTTTTTTTTTTTCTTTTTTTTTTTTTAATTCCCTATTCCTTCATGGAATATTTAGAGCTGCTGTTATTTTAAGCTTGCACTTCAGAGCATGAAGACAACAAAAGCTGAGGTATGAACAACTGAAGCGATCCATAAGCAGTATGTTTAAAAAGCAAACTACTGCTACTCACAGATTCCACCCTAAAGAAATACCTATCAGTGACCCATTTGTCACAGTGAGTGCAGAACACCAATAACTTCCTTATTATTTCTTTTTATTTCTACATTCTTTGCAGAGATTGAACTGTAGGGTCAGGGACAAGGTTTTATGATCTTGCACCCACCAGTAACAAAGTCATTCAATGAGCAAGCTATAATCTGTCGATCTCAAGTATACTTCCAAGGCTGTCCTGCTCTCTTCTAGATGGAATACCACAGGAGGCAGCTATTACCATTTCAACCTTTTTTAGTCAAGTCTTATTAGCTGCACGAAGTGACTCATTCACTTGGAAAATATACTGTTCAATTTCGTTGTTTTGGTTTTTTTTTTCCATAAAATTGTTGGCATTCTTGCATCCCCCTACTCTGCAAATAATTGCTAAAATATACCACGAAGGTAGAAATCAACAGTTTACATTTTACCCCCTAATTCAGTCAATTCAACTGATTGTATTACTGATTTCACCAACTTCAGTGTAAATTGATAAAGCTCCATTGACAGAGAACCTTGCTGACAGGTCAGACGAAGCTGCATGTAACAGAGACAAGGCAAAGTTACCCAGTAAAGGAGCACTTAGCATCAAAAATACTGTTCATAACAGTACTATTCACAGAAAGCAAAAAAAAAAATTCTCCTCTAAAGTATTTACAAAGATACTGACAGAGCCTGCAAAGCATTATTGAAAATAAGTCATCATGCTTCTTCAAACAAGATTATAAGGAATCAGTAACAACTTTCAGCACCTTATGTAGGACATTCATTCTGGCACATGCACACAACTGTAAGCATACATTCGGGGTGTTTCTAACTCAGCTCTTAGGAACACAGAATGGTCTTTAATTACGTAAGTGCCTCCTCACCATCCCATCCCCCCATGCCTGGCTTCACTCAGGGCTTTGAGGAGACAGCTCTGTAATCAAGGAAATCCTTTTTTAAGTGAAGACTTTCTTAACCTGGTTTAGTAAATAGGAATGCTGCCTTATTTGCTGAAGAAATTATGAGTTTATTTTTAAATGGTGACAGTGTTTTCCCTTCCCCTTTTAAAAACAGATGACTGTTAGAGAAAGTTAGTCAAGCAAAAACAAACTTCTGTGACACAAATACTGCTCTAGAAAATTCCTATAGTGAGAGATGCTAGAAAATATGGAATTGGAAAGATATGCTTTGGTTGTAAAATGCAGTCTTGTTCCAGCTTGCTCATTACAAGTCTAGGCATCTAGATTTAAGTTCATCTATCTAACTGACAGAGCTCACGGTGTCTTTAGGTCAAGGTTGACCAAGGTTAAGTAAAGCAAGAAGGGCAAGTCTGGAACTCTACTATTCAATTCTCTCTTCTTACTAAAAAGCCTCCAATAGCACACGATGAAAGACGTGTGGAAGCCAGCATATCAGCAAGCACCCAACATGCACACTGCTACTTTTCTGAAAGCAAGCAAGCGACTGGATGCATGAAAAAAGAATAATGATCGCTTTTTAACAGGAATCTAAACTAACTTCTGCTCAACTTCCCACCCTGGCCAAGTAGAACGGCATTAACAGAATTAGGCATGACCAACAGCTATGGAATTACAAGATTTCCAAGATCAGCCCACACCTCTTTGGAACAGGAGGGTGCTTTCTCCAGCTCCCCACCAAACCGCCATGGGGTGCACTGGATATGTGATAGGTAAGCTCTATAAGAAGGCACCTTTTTCTTCCCCTTGGTGGAAGCAGGGAACTAGCATCCTTGCCAGAAGTGCATCCTTATTTACACTACTATTTAATCTGCTACTTCAGTAAGTGCTGTGTCTGATAGGAGCCAGTATTTCATAGCCTATTTCATAGTACAGTTACACATGCAGTTAATGGAGCTGTACTGTAGGGTAAGAACAATCATGCAGGCAGCTACAGAATCACAGAGTCATAGAATGGCCTGGGTTGAAAAGGACCACAATGATCATCTGGTTTCAACCCCCCTGCTATGTGCAGGGTCACCAACCAGCAGACCAGGCTGCCCAGAGCCACATCCAGCCTGGCCTTGAATGCCTCCAGGGATGGGGCATCCTTGGGCAACCTGTTCCAGTGTGTCACCACCTCTGCGTGAAAAATTTCCTCCTAATATCTAACCTAAACCTCCCTTGTCTCAGTTTAAAACCATTCCCCCCATTTCCTATCACTATCCACCCTTGTTAACACAGGGTGGTTTGTTTTTGTTTTTTACAGCTGATTGATCAGACAACCACAGGATCAACATTATGATCCCCTTCCTTCATAACTCCTATAAAGCCTTCTTTTTGTTTTCATGCTTAATACTAAACCAGCAGCAATACAATGCTGGAAGCTTTGCCATCCATCCTTGTTATTTTACTAAGGACCCTAGAGGATTAGTAAAGTAAACCATTAATAAATATTTAACTAAAAAATGGTTGCTACTGAATTAAGTACTACTCATCTTAAAACAGTCTTTGCTCCATACCCAGTCTTGTGATAGTTTAACTTCTTGCTGCTGCAATTAACTGACAGCATAAAAAAAGCTCTCTCAGGCCTCACATTCCTACCCTTGTAGCTGTGGGGGAGGAAGGGCAGCAAGCTTCAAAATGTGCATGGAGTGAACCTTGTAATTTAAAGGGACAGTGGGGGGAAAAAGAAAAAGAAAGAAGTACTTGTGATTGCTGGCCTTGCAATACTGTTTCCTTTTGGTCTGCACTTACAGGTGATGAAATAGCCCCATAGCAGAATGACAAACAAGATACCGCTCTCATATGATCATTTTTCTCAGGTTAAGTTGCCAAAATGTGGGCATATTATAACACATCTATATATTTCTACTGCTACATCTATAACCATTCACCATTAACTCATCCAGCTCTTGCCTTTAGCACATGCAGCATAGTTTGTTATTTCCCTTATTTTCCAGGAAATACCACAACAGACAATAAAATAGCACTGCAGTAGTCTTAAAGGTACTGCTGTGGCTGAATAAGTCCAGTGTCTTCCCTTACACACTTTCAAAAAGAAGTTTCTCAATTTCCAAAGCTCCCTTTCAATGTTAGATTATTATAAAACAGGATTCCTCAGAAACATTAGTTTAAATTAGAAGAGCAGATTGGATTATTCTAGCAAAGTGACTTTGAATTAAAAATACATTTTTCAGCCTGTAGCAATAATTTGGTTTTGGAGTGCTGAGTTTAACAGTACCTTAACTGGAAAAGCCTTCTGTCTAGTCTGCCCTTCCTAATAAGAAAATAAAGCTGTTATTCTTCCTCTTGCAGATCTGCAAAATCACAACACCATAAGGTTTTTCTCTGACAAAATGGCACTGGGGACTTCCAACATCACATCGCTTGTAGCAATTGAAGATTCCACCTGTTCCAGAAGATAAGGCATTTTCATTCTGCCCTAATCTCTCTGACTGATGGTCTAAGCAGTAGAAAAGACTTTTCTGACTCTGGATCCTACAGCTTTCTTCCACACTCCAACATCACACAGAACTCGCCATTTACTTCCATAGCATCCCAATTACTTTGGGAAGAGATGGTCATCTCCCAGAGAAAGAATGGGTTTTGGAGCTACCAGTAAAGCTTTCTATTTTCCAACGGCAGCAGAAGATCTGTAAAGTAGCAGCAAGATGGTCTTTTCTCTAAGGACTCAGCTGCAGTCAGTGGTGTCCAGTAGATTCAGTAGCACAGAAATAGAAACATTTCATAGATTCAGCAGTTTAGTAGATACAACCAGCCTTTGCTTTTTACCAGCTACTACAGCCTGAAGCATAGTTCTGCTGACTTCCCCCAGGAGAGGTGCAGACTGGAACTGTATCCTTCTTGGATCTTCTTCATGGCCGCACAGTGCTTCAAGACAGAATGCAGGAGGAGTTAATAGATTGACTCAAGTGCTTGTGTCCTGCTCTTTCACCATCCCACTAACGCTGGGCCCTACTCTGTACTATGAGGGACAGCAATAAGTTTATCATTTTATTTCATTTTTGTTTTTTAACTGCAGACATAAGTACTTTTGTTCCTCACCAAAGCATGCCTGCCAGCTGGATCAAACAACAGGGAACAGCAGCTTCAGCTATATCTTTCATAGTCAAGTGCCATTTCAGTTCTCTTCTCTTTTGCTCTTACGTGATTCTCCAGCCCTACTTACATGCCAAACACCTTTCCCAAGCAAGAATATCCTTCAGCCAAAATGCATTCATAAGGAATTCAGGTCCAGTCAAAACATCTATTGTATTCTCACCCAGCAATCTTCATTGACTTATGTGGGACAGCTGGGGGAGAGGTTGGATTCCTTCCAGAAATCTCAGGCAGTTCTTCCTACCAGGTAGGCCCAGCAAAGGGCAGAGTTTATGGATACAGCAGACAACACAGAACCCACATCCCACCCAAACCATCATCTCCAGCCTCTCTCTCTCACTCAATTTATCCCTACTAGCACCTTCAAATACAAGAAAGCAAGTACAGTGGCATGATCCAGCCAAACCCAAGCCCTTGTTCGTTTCAGACAAGACCTGTAACACATGAATTTGTAGCCTCTCTTTCTCTCACATGCAAGAAACACAAACCATAAGTTATGCTATCAACAGGGAAAATTCAGCAAAATGTTCCAAAGGCATGCATGACCTGATTCATTCTTGGCCTTATCACTAAGGACCAGGCTCCCGCTCCTCCCTCCTGTTTCTCCAAAATCTGTTCAGCAGCATCAGCCCTTGCCTATTCCTCTTCTGTCTGCTTGGGCACTCAGCAGCATTCTTAGGTGCCCTGCAGCAGGCATAGAAGCAGAAAAAACGAACAGGAACAGGACAGGAAAAAAACAGGCTGCTTTCACTCTTTGGGTTGTTTCTTGGAAAGCAAGAAGGCACAAGACTTAGGTCAGTTATTGTAAGTGTGATGTTTTTTTAGACCTATTCAAAAAAGAACATGCCTCTCAGGCTGCTGTGATCCTGTGCTCAGAGGTACCACAGCAATCAGTGATGCACATTGGTTCACAGACGTATCACTTTGGGGTCTAACTATGCTGAATTCACTGCCGCTGAGACCAAATACCTGCTTTGCAGAGAAAAACAGCAGTGCAGAGCATGAGCCAGAGTATCCTGCCAGAAAACCCTGATGTGCAAAACACAACAGAACACAGGCATCAGCTACCACTGAACGTGCCCTTAAACAGTAACAGCATTTGGTGCAATGGTTTGATGACAAGCTAATTAGCGTTGCTGAGAGACACAAAATGTTATCTCCAGCTTGAAACTACAGTAGGGCTGGTAGGTGACCCTTGACATCTTTCTAATATTTTGACTCAGGTTGACACAGTGCAGTGTAGATCCATATCTGTGGCACGGTGTAGATATAATTGAAACTGAAAACATTAAAGAGCCAGTTGGTTTGCTGTTTTCAATTTTTCCCATTCAAGAAAGAAAACAATATTCCATAGTGTTCTAAAATGGCTTAGGGCTCATTCCAACAAGTAACATATCTCCTGCAGCACAGATGAACATCGCTAACTTGGGGTTACAGGGCAGCCCTACAGAGATCCAAATCCAACCAGTGGCTTTGGAAGGGAGGAAGAGAAACAGTAACTCCTGGATTCTCATCAAATTGGTGCTTTGTAAGTATCAAATATTTCATACATTTTCTAAACCTTGCCTATAGTCACAATCAAGAATAAGATAAAGTCCATTTTCTCAGTTTCTTTGCCTACATTTATACCTCTACATGAGGACTAGGAGAACAAGACGAGTTTCTGCAATAAAAACCACATCAGCTGGAAACAAATTTTCATACACTCTGCCTGTTCTGCCCCTCTACAGGCCTTTCCCCAAAATTTCTCTTTATCATTTTTAAATTCTTCCTGTGCATTTGAACGCTGAAAAGAACTTATCTCCATGCCCAGCAGCAATGGAGCTCTAGTGCAGCACAAAAACCTCTGAGTGCTGTCAAAAGCTAACCCATAACCTATGTAAAATCCAAAGCACAGATAAGCTGAGCAGAAATAGCTCTGCTTCCTCAACTCTCAAAGCTTTAAGCAAAGCAAACGCTATAAATCCAGTTCTAACTGCATCAAAAATTAAAATGATAAATAGGAATGAAACACACATTAGATAACACAGTCTTGAAGGAATGATCATAGAATGGCCCAGGGTTGAAAAGGACCTTAAAGATGATCCAGTTCCAATCCCTCTGCCATAATCCAACCCACCAGATCAGGCCGCCCAGGGCTCCATCCAGGCTTAATGAACACATCCAGGGATGAGGCATCCATAGTGTCTCTGCGCAGACTGTTCCAGAGCATCACCACTCTCTGAATAAATAGTTTCTTCCTAATATCTAATCTAAATTTCTTCTCTTTTAGTTTAAAGCCATTCCCCCTTGTCCTGTCATCACTATTAGCCTGTCATTTCCCCAGCTCTGTTATACTCTCCTGGATTTAATACTGAAGGCTTTAGCCAGCCTTCAGATGGACTCCTATTTATACATTACACATTCTAATTGTCACTCCGTACCCAACAGAACAAAACACAGAGGGAATGGGAGGCCTGAGTTCATGCAGGCTCCTCCCACACTCTGCAGGGCCAACACGGCTCCTTTTCAGACCATTTTTTTCCTTTTCCTTCAGATCTTCTTCCAGAAAGACAAATACAAACAAGTCTCGCAACATGCTCCGGGGGTTGGAGTTCAAGTCCTTTTCTCCTTATACCTCAACATGCAAAACTGAAAAGATTTCTGTTGCTTAGGACAGCTGCTCCTCCTGAAGAAATAGAGCATGATAGTTTTGCCTCTCCAGATCCTTTTAAGTGAGCAAACATACTAAAGAAAACACACATACACTATACAAAGCTTGAGAAAACAGAAAACTGTTAACAAAGACAAACCCCACCACAACATCACTTGCATTCACAGCCAGTGGTGTTATCTCAGGAGTGCCTGCAGAATCAGAGGCTCAAGGTCAAGTCCTTTGGATACCCAGATAAAAAAGGTGGGGAGAGGTAGAAGGAAAAAAAAAAAAAAAAAAAAAAAAAAAAGCTGGAAATAGCCAAATTAGGCAGGTCTCAAAACAGTTCAGTCACAAACCATATCAGATCACCACATTTTCCCCAGAGACCACGATTGATCTAGATAAAGAAGGAACAATCAGAGAATTTTACCATCTGTGTGATACACGCACATTCAGGTACACCTGTCTTGTAACAATACTAGAGTGTTCAAAACACCCAGCTCTGGTTGATTTGGAGCCAGGGACTTAATCTCAGCTCTCACAAAAGTGACTGGGAATCACGCAACTGAATCTACCAGTCACTTTGTGGAGATTACATTATACAGATTTGCATGGAATAAACAGGCAAGCAAAGAGGTGTGAGCATACAGAGTTGTGCTAGTATACAGAATGGAAGTTTCACCTTCACTGAAATAATGCACAAAACACACATGCAGTCATAGCTCCAAGAAAACCGTAGTCACTGTTTTTCACCATGCTGCTTTTAGTCCTGCCTCTGCTGCTTAAAAATAACAATATCAGCAAACACCATGCACACCCCCACCAGCAAAAACTAGGTTTTTGGGACTGTATCTTCCCCTAAGAGCAGAGCTGGCACATACGTCTGCTGGGGCACATATGTGCCAATGGAGAGCTCGAGAATGTAGAAGCAGGAATGTAGCAAAACAAGTCAGTGAAAAGCATAAAGCTAAGTTAATTGAGAGAGTGGGGGAATGGTGGCAAGTGGTAGCACTTACCCCACACTGCTAGCAGGTCTTGCAAGCTTCCCAGGGTAGTGATCCTAACAGATCAGAAGTAAGCAAGCTTCGGGACACCAACAGTTTCAGCAGCTTCTTTGATAACATGAATGCCTGACATTTCCAGTATTCTCAATTCAGTACTGCAATGAATATATTAACGTTGCCTCTGGGTCATGAAAGTTAATCAGAAAACTCACCTTACCTGCTAACTACTAAAAACTAAATCAAAAGAGACACTGTGCAATTGGAGAAGTTCAAATATTGTGAGTATTAGGGGTTTTTTTTTCAAGAGCTTTCTTTACAGTTTAATTTTCTCGCCACTAAAGCTCAAAAATATCTCCAACAACACCACACATGGTAAGAAAAGCTCAAACAGCAACTTCATAGCTGAGAGTGCTTTGTGGGTGTAAAGTGTTTTTGAGCTAACAAAGAACGGTTGTACAGGTAGCAGCAGAGTGCCTGCGGGCTTTTAGTGCTTTGTTTCATTTCTTAAATGTGTCTTAAATAGGAAAAGCCACCAAATACAATCCTCAAACAGTACTTAACCTGAGCATTTCCACAGCCACAAGATTCATACCATAGTTGAAAGACACGGTTCTAAAGAACACGTAATGCAGAACGTGAAATCTTACTGATGTTTGCTGAATGCGAAAAGTTACTAAGAAGTCTACATCGCAGAATAAAATCAGTTCATATCACAATGCGTTCTTCACTCTTTAAGATAATAAAAAGTAAAAAAGGATGTTTTTCAAAACTCATGAGCTTTCACTGATATAGCTGTAGCTGACTTCAGCATTAGGAGTACCACTAATTGCATGTTTCCTTAGACAACACTGAAACCAAATTCACAATAAGAACTCAGGGCAAAGATGTGGGCAAAAAGGCAAATTCAGAACTGGAATTGTTCACAGCACAGCTGTGTTGGTTGTTACACAGGAGCTCAGCTCTTAAAGAATACTTCACACGTTCATTTACATGTTTCTGTGTCATAGTTACAGTGACTTGGTGCTATAAAGAGACACAACAGCCCATGTTGCAGTGCTGACTATTAGGGGCAGTCAGCCTGCACTGGCTTTCTGTGCCCTGATTTATGCACCTTTGTTTCCTTGCCTGTACATAAGGAAAGCTAATTACCTCAGACAGTAATCTTCAGTTGCCATCTGTCTGAGAGGAAAGCTGCCTTAATCAGACAGTAGGGAATGCTGGGAAGGCTTATATGCTTTTCTCAGTGCTACTCAGAGATCCCTTCTTCCCCCAAAAACATGAGTATTTATGTATCAGCATTTGGGACGGTTGCTTCTGAAGAGGAGAGTCACCCCTAAAATCACAGCAGCCCAGAGGAGTGTATCATCCTACCACACACTCTCACATCCTCACAGTCCTTCTACTCCTGCCATAGCTTCAACACCTACCACCGCTGCTGAGAGCCATGGGGCACAAAATGTACGCAGGCCAGCTCTCTTGGTGGGATGGCCACAGGCACACAGTCCTGTCCTTCCCACAGCCCCCTACCTTCACACCCCATGCTCACTGCCAGTCATCAGCTCCTGGCATCGCTTTCGCTTGTTACTTTCTCAGCCAGTTCTGGTCTGCTGGAAGTGAAACAGCACCTATTGCTGCTGTAGGAGTCTCGGTTTCCACAGCTGTTCAAAGCTACAACAAAACAAGCAGGATCTTTCTCAGGGCTGTGATATTTTTAAACATGTTAGCGATCCTTCCCTACTGGATCTTTGCTAAGCATCAGATTTGACACTTACTAAGTGGCATTAGTTGAGTTCAGTCATTCAACTTAAAAAATAATAATAACGATAATCAGACACCAACCATTTGTAATAAGAAATAAGTCCTGTGAAATCCAATGAATAACATGTATGTTCTATTTTACTTCAGTGCCCTTTCCAAGGAAGCTCTGAGCAGCATTCTTCATTTAAATCAGAAATCTTTAAAGACAAAAACATCCATGTCCCAAGTTGAAAACAATAAAGGGCATGTCTTCAACACAGAAGGAATGAAAACAGCTATTCCACTTAAATTGCTCCAATTAAGATCACAGAATCAGAGAATGGCTTGGGTGATGAAGAAACAGTATTTTCTTAACACGTTTTGCAAGAAAAAGTCAGTCTTCAGAAACTGTATTCACTGTTATTTCTGTATATACTGTACTTCAGAAACTATACAAATGTTATTTGTACTGCCAGTATCTGAACCAGCTGTCTAGGTCACAACACAGCATACACACCTGGCCTGTGCTCCACAACACAAGCTGAGCAGCATA